ATTTGTTTTGTATATTCTTTTATTATTGTTATTTTCGTGTTCCCTTCCTTTTCTGTCCTATTAAACTGTCTTTATCTCAACTCATGAGTTTTACCTTTTTGCTGATTCTCTCCCCTATCCCACTGCAGGGGATTGAGTGAACGGCTGGGTGGTGCTTAGCTGCCTGCCGGGTTAAACCGCAGCACAGGCTACAGTCAATTTTCACCCATACTGGAAAGGATATAGCTCACTTCAGTGTACAAACAAGGCTTGCAGTGCAGTGAGCAGCCCATACCTTGGGCCCTAATTACTTGCTGCAGACCTGAAGTGCCCTAACTAAGTGGCACAGCTTCTAGCTCCAGAGCCACGCTGCTTCTGGCTTATCTTCCACCTGTCCCTCTGGTTTTTCATGTTTCTGACTGTACAGTGCCATGGGTTCACTAGCTGGGTTGTTCTGTGTCCATTTAGCACTGAAGTTTTTTCAAAATAACTCCAGAAAGTTCAAATCTTAGCTGAACTGGTATCATCACTTGTAGAGTTATGGTACAGGCAAGATCCTACTGGCTAGATACTAGATGTTTTGTTTTCTTCATTGTAAGCAGGGTTTAGAAGCATCTTTCTGATGGCTCATGTTAGCACACATCTGACCTAGGTGAGCAACAGGAGTAAACCACCCATAGAGAATTTGGCCACACCTGGCTTCTCTACTCATGTCAGACCTGGTTTTCTCATATTTTCAAATGATTGAGTTATGTAGACTTAAATAACCTTTTAAAGCCCATTTCAGTGCAATCTCTTGTATAAGAAAACTTGTAGATTATAAGGTTATTTGGCTTTTATGCCAAAAGTTTTCTTATCTAGCTTATAAAAATGCAGCCTTCAGTTCAGTCATCCCCGTTTTGTGAAGAATACTTGTTAATTCTTTTCCCTTAAATTTTACCACTTAATGTTTGGGGTTCTTTTTTGGATGGCTGATCTAAATGCAATTTGTGCTTCATGGTTTTTCTCAAATGACTGACTTGATTTAGTTAAGTAGATGTAGTCCTTGTGGAGGTATTCTTTGTTCAGAATATACCTTTATTTGGATTAAATTTAATAAGGAGCTATCACAGCTGGAATAAAAGTGCTCTCTTTCAGTCATAGTACGTAACCTTGTTGTAGGTGGTTGTTCCAAGGGGCTGTTTGTCATACTTTGTGTGGACAAAACTTAAACCATAGTCTTTGAACTAAGTATCAAAAGGCCTTTGAAGATATTTTTGAGTTTTGTTTTCTTGTAAGGGTCTCTTAATCCCAGTAGGGGCTTTTGTTTGGTTTTTCAGTTTGTTTTTTCTGTAGAGAGCGGGTTTCCTATTGAGTTTATAGTCACCTCTGCTTATCAGGAACCTGCCTATACAAGTCCTGCTTCTGTCATCCCCCAACTGAAAGCATAGATTTATCAATACTGTCTCAATCTGTAAGTCACATAAAATACATTTCAAATATTGTACGTTGTCACTGGTTGTTCTTTCTGCGCATCTTTAGAATACAGAAAGATGCAAAACTTTCTGGACAACAAGGAATGTTCAGGCATTTTTTGAAGCGTAGTTTTCATTGTCCAGTTGTTGTAGGCTTTTTGTTTTGTTTGATTGGATGGTTGGTTTGCTTCCAGTGGCATTCCTTGTGTCTTCTGTGAACTGTTCCTGCTCCCTAGAGCTTGATCCTTTTTCAGACTTTTTTTTACCACCAGGCATTTAACTACATGCCAAACCTCTTGTCCATCACTGTGGTGGATGGCTGTTATTTCCCTGTGTCCTAGTAGTCCAGAATTTCCAGCTAACCATCAGAGCTGCGGTGATGTTTGTGGGCAGGTGTTCCTGCTAGGTATGGTGCCCTGCCTAAGAGCTTGGAGGCAAAACAGATGTCCAGATAAGTGAACAGAGAATGTAGGTCTTGTATTTAACTTCTCGAGTACCTATACAGCATGCCAGGAGTAAGGAGTGGTTGAAAAGCGTGGTGCTTTGATTGTGATTGTGTCTTCAAATATTGAGTCGTCTGTGAGAAGCCTTGCAGACACCCAAAGCGTGTTTCAGCTTTATAGATAAAACTAACAGCACTGTGAAATGTCTAAAGAAGCACAAGTTATTTGAAATTACAGATGTAAAGTTTACTTAGGTAGAAATACCTTAATTGCCAGGGATGTGTATTTTTCACTGTTCAAATAGATTCTAATGTGTGAAGAATATAATTGAATCTTACACATATAACAGTTGTAAAGTTAGTTCATTATCTCTTTCAAGTACTTAAGCAATTTAATGGATAAAAATAAATTTCTATTATGCACATAATTTTTATTTGGATTTGAATCCTTAGAAATAACTTTTCTGGACAGGAGATGGTATATATTTTCAGATTAAGATCCAATCTATGGCCAGAAAAATTTGCTAAACCTGTGATTAATGTTTGAGGAACTTGAGTGTTTTCTTTAGGTTGAAGCTGCCAGCAAGGTAGTCTGGAGGAGCTCTTTCCTCAGGTATGCTACATAAAGGATAAATCTGGCTGTTAGCATTCCAGCTTGATTTCAGCCCTCAAGTTCTGATTTGCAGCCAGAGCACTGTTTTGTGATCGTGCTTCAAAGCAGAGCTAGAATGGGAAGTCTCTAAAAAAACCCTGTATTTAAGCACAAGAGGAAAAGGTGGCACCAGCTTTAGCATGCTGATAGGATGAAGAATGGAAATAAAGTTAAACAGTGTTCCCAGGTGATAGAAACAAATCATAAAGAAGCACCAACTTTAAGACCAGTCCCAGTCATAAAAAGAGCAAATTTTTTCATACAGCTGCTGTAAGTTACTTCAGTGGCAACAGTGTGAAGTGAGGAACTTTGCTCTCTGTGCCTTACAGTGAATGAATGAACCTTCTAATGATTTGTTACTGCTCTCTTTCTCAGAGTCCCTTTAATACAATTTTTTGTAAGGTGATTGTGTATGGAAGTGTGTGTGTGTTCCCATCAAAGACGTATCAAACAGAGCGTGGTTTTGACCACTCCATGGTAGGAGGGGAGGTGGTTTAGGGAGGGTGTGTGTTTTGGTTTGTTTGTTTATATTTTTTTCCTTTAAGCACAGTGATATCCTGAACAGAGTTTTCTGTGAGCTGGCAGTATGACTTACTTTTTTGGAAGTTCTGTGTAGAACTAGAAAAGGACATGTTATAATTTGTGGAGTGAAACATTTCTTAATAGTTAGAACTAAATCTAAAAGCCAGGTTTTGTCTTTGGGTCTAACATTGCTACTCTGAACTGTTCTGCTCTTGAGTGGCTGTGGAGTTGGAACAGGTTTGTGCTCCATTAAATGCCTGCGTTGCAGTGCTTTGTTTGAAGTAAAGTCAGAAAACTTGCAATGACAAGCTTGAGTTTTATTTGATTTGCCTTGAAAACTTCATAGGAGTAAAGATAATGGAAAGATCTGAAAATGGTCTTTTTCGTTATTTGAATGTTTCCCTGCGGCATTGGAAACACAACACAACAGCATTGTGCTGTTATAGGAGAACCAAAAAATTTAGTTGAGTGGTCTAGTTCATTGTCCAAGCAAGTGAAATACTAAATATAAATGGTATTTGAGAGGAAGAAGAAAATTGTATTTTTAAAACCCTTTAATATACAGTTTTAGCAATTCAGGTAAGGAAAACCTTCAAATATTTTACTTTGAAAGTGTTAGAGGTACATTTGAAAAACCAGGAGAGTAGGGAAGAAGAGGTAAAACTATCACTTTTCCATTCCTTGTTAAATTAGAAACAAAAATTTTTAAGGTGACTTGGAGTAAAAAGTAGCAGCAAGAGAAATCGAATGAACTCATGCTCTACCCATAAATATGGGGTTTTGAGAAAAATTCAGACTTTCATACCTTTTTTGAGTTTTGTTTGTTGTATAATGGTGCTTTACTCTGTCAAAGGAACAGTTTTCCTTTATGGAATGTATAAACTTGTTCACAGACTTTTCATCATAATTTAAGGAAACTTTTGATAGCTTCACCTTTGAGAATGCCTTAAATTGATCTATCTATCCTGTAATTTAAACACTGATAGTACGAAATTTATGTCATTCTGTATTCTTTGTTTAGTGTGGAATTACAGATTTTGCATAGAGTTTGCTTTTTACACATAGGAGATAACAATTTAAACGTGCAAAATTGGTAATGTTTAGAGTGTACTTGTTTCAAATTGTGTATTAGTCAAAGTTAGTTGCTGGGTAGATTTACTATCAGTAGCTGAAAAAAAGCTGTTTTGGTTGAATCCAGCCTAAGATTATATGTTCATATGACCAATTTCCATGTAATACACACTTTCATGACTGCAACTTTTCATATTTCCTTTATGCTGAACATGAACATTTTCAGTGATTGGAAAAAAGTCCCATCTAGCAGACTTTGTGGGGAGGTACAAACCTCAGGTAGATTTTAACAGCATTACCAACAGTAACAGGTTTGTAAACTAGCTTCAACATAATCTGGGTTTGGGGAACCCCCTCTACTCATAGTGAATGGGGTTTGTCAATGCCTTCTTGAGTCTGGATGGCTTTTATTTGAACAATGTGACTGTAGCCCACAAAACTTCAATCAAATACAGTGAATACTCCACTTTGGTAGTGGCAGATAACTTTGTGCTTCCTTTGGCCATAATATGGGAGGGTGAAAACTGGCCCTGCATGTTGGTGCTCAGTGGTGCACCTAAAATCTTAGCCAGTGCCTTTCCCAGTTAATCAAAGAGAAGTTGTCAGGGGAGTGGAAGAGCTGACCATGAAGCTTACTCCAAGGGGAAAGGTGTGACACAGAATCAAGGAATAAGATAGGGAAGACAGTCTTTTGAACTGAAAATTGAAGGTAGCTAAAAAAGGGAAAATCTCCTAAGTACTTACTGAGCAGAATGTGAAAGGATAAATAATAATAGTCCAGAAGCGTTGTGAGTTACTCTAAGCTTTAATGTACAAATATGATTTCTCTTGTGCTTTATAGTGATGTTTTGAACTCTTACTGAAGTTTTTCTTGATGTAGGTCACACACTACAAGCAATATCCACCTAATACAAGCAAAGTATATTCCTACTTTGAATGTCGTGAAAAGAAGACTGAAAATTCCAAATTAAGGAAAGTGAAATATGAAGAAACTGTTTTTTATGGTTTGCAGTACATTCTGAATAAATACTTAAAAGGTAACTGTCTCAAAATTCCAGTAAAACTTTACTTTTTAGTAATTATCTTATTTTTTTCTCAAGCCTGGAGTCTGATGGTTGAAACAATTCCAGGATATTTTGGTGCAGTGTAGGTAGTAACATGCATAAGATCTTAATTATGTGATTCTGAAAATGAGATGTCCACCCTTATAAAATGGTATTGACTTCTTAATTCAGGCACCTCTCTACTACTTATATTTATATACATGTATTATGCCAATGGTTTATAAAAATGAAGAGGTGTTCATATGTTGGCTTCAGTGGGCAAAATTGAAATGGATGGAAATAGAGCAAGACTGTACATAGAGTCACAAGAGGATAAAAAAGTCAAGGGAAAATACATTTTGCATTTTGAACATAAACTTTAGTCTGTATTTGCTGGTTTATTTACTGTGTAAACTAATAACGGTTTTAATTTCCCTTAAATTTCACTCACCACTCAGCTTAGATCACTGAATACGGCAGCTACATGTGAAAGTGCTTTCAGTATTGACAAGAGTAACATCTGAAAACACCTTGGTATCATTTAAGATTTTGTTTGCTTTTTTGTATTATGTGCAGATATCACCTGCTCTGACCTGAGTGCAGGTTGCCTTCTGCGAAGCTTTAGAAGGAAAACTTTTGTCATATGGCTTCCATATCTTTCTCTTGATCCAGAATCCATAAATATCTCTGCCAATTCTGCCAAAGATAGGAATTCCGCTATAATCAACACACTTGATAATCTTGTTTCTTTTCTTTTTAGCAATTTGAGGATTGTTTTCTAATGTTTCCAGTAGTAGCAGTGCTTATTCAAATAATGTGGTTAGTTTGTCAGTTCATATCGCAGAAGTGGTTAATCAAAGACTGGTTGTAAGACCTCTCCATGGGGATTCTCCCTGGAGCAGCATAGCTTAACCTTTGTGCTAGTCTGGTTATGTCTTGTTGCATGTGCCAGCTTGCACAATCATCACGTTCCTCTGGGAAAAGCACTGCTACTAAAACACTTGACAGGTTATTGGTTTCTTGAGCATCCTAATCTATATAATACATTAAAGTAAAATTTGATTTTAACACAGCTAGTATACTGCATTTGACATATTCTTCATGTCTTTGGAGGCAAGGTGACTTTTCTGTGTCTGAACGTTTTTGTTATTTATTTTATAAGTTGATGAATATCATAAGTTTCTAAGCTTTCATATGTTTCTGAAACCACAGGTAAAGTGGTGACCAAAGAGAAAATCAAGGAAGCCAAAGAAGTATATAGGGAGCATTTTCAAGATGATGTCTTCAATGAAAAGGGATGGAACTATATTCTGGAGGTAAAAATTTATGCAAATAGTATGAGATCATCATGAAGGATTTATGAATCAACTGTAGAATAAATACACAGTCTCTCTTTTTAACCATGATAGTAAAGACTGGATAAATTTAGCTTCTTAGGTTTAGTGCACAGGGAGTAGCAACTGTCAA